CCAAACACACACCAGAACCACCTGAACCATCTGAAGCACCTGAACCATCTCAAACACCTGAACCATCTGAACCGCATGAACTATCTGAACCACCTGAATCACCTGAACCATCTGAACCACCTGAACCATCTGAACCATCTGAAACACCTGAACCGTCTGAACCATCTGAACCATCTGAACCATCTGAAACACCTGAACGTCTGAACCATTTGAACCACCTGAACCATCTGAACCATCTGAAACACCTGAACCGTCTGTACCATCTGAAACACCTGAACCATCTGAACCATCTGAACCACCTGAACCATCTGAAACACCTGAATCACCTGAACCATCTGAACCACCTGAACCATCTGAATCACCTGAACCATCTGAACCACCTGAACCATCTGAACCATGTGAACCACCTGAACTGTCTGTACCATCTGAAACACCTGTACCATCTGAAACACCTGAATCACCTGAACCGTCTGAACCATCTAAACCACCTGTACCATCTGAAACACCTGAGCCATCTGAATCACCTGAACCACCTGAACCATCTGAACCATCTGAACCACCTGTACCATCTGAAACACCTGAATCACCTGAACCATCTGAACCACCTGAACCATCTGAACCATCTGAAACACCTGAACCGTCTGTACCATCTGAAACACCTGAACCATCTGAACCATCTGAAACACCTGAACGTCTGAACCATTTGAACCACCTGAACCATCTGAACCGTCTGAACCATCTGAACCACCTGAAACACCTGAAACACCTGAACCGTCTGAACCATCTAAATCACCTGAACCGCCTGAACAGCCTTTTTTTCATTCATTCAACCTTTATTTAAACAGATAAATCACATTGAGCCTAAAAGACTCATTTACAAGTTAGACTTGTTTGGACAGACAAAAAAGTGGTAAAATGGACACATGTAGGAGTTGGAGCCTATACCATCAGAACCATATTAACCAGCTGAACATCTGAAGCACCTTAATCACCTGAAACACCTGAACCACCTGAACCACCTAAACCATCTGAATAACCTGA